CCGTCATTTCGGTGACAAATGTTTATAACAAGGTACATTCTGACACTGGATTTGCACAGTGTCTGGAAGATGGAGAAGTCCCAGCGATCAAAAATCCCGGTCATATAAGAACTGCTGTAAAACTGCATCAAATGTCTGTGATTGTTAGTAAGTGTAAGTGCTCGCGACTCTTCAGCTCCGCCACGGCTCGCCTCCAGGAGCTTGGCTGTTTTCGGAGAGAATCATAGCTGTATCTTTCTTTTATAAATCTGATAAAACTGAAGACTTAAATCCAAACTGTATGCTAATTGTCACTCATCTTTGACGATAGTGGTCCTGACAGAACTATCTTTGTATTTCCTGCAGATTTCAGTGATGGTGTTCTGAATACTCAGTGGCCGAAGTACCTATCCAGTCTTCCAGGCTCCTCAGTTGAAATGGTTTTGACCATTTATAATAGACCACGTAACCTGTTTTTGTTTTTATCTTTGTATTTTTAGCAGATTTCAGTGATGGTGTTCTGATCACCTGAAGTACATATCCAGTCTTCCAGGCTCTTCAGTTGAAATGCACTGTTACCAGAATGATACAAACTATGACTACAAATACTGGTACAGACAAATAAATGGTGAAGGACCGGTGCTTATTGCAAGCATCATCGGGACTGCTGAATTGATTGAGAAGGGATTTGATACTGGCTTCAAAGTGTCAAGTACAGAGACCGTCGGGTCTCGGGTCTGATCACCTGTTCCTTGCTGTCTCTGCGGTTGGGTGTTGTGTGTTGTTGTGCGTGGCTTGTTTTGACAGCTCGCCACGTGCGCATTTGTCACCATGATTGTTTCCCCGCCCTCCTTTGTTTCTCTGCTCGCCTCTTGTTTCACACCAGGTTCTTATCATCTCATTAGCTTCCCCTTATAGCTCCTCGTGTTTCTCTGTCTTTTGTCAGATCGTTGAGATTTATTCCCTTGCTCTGACTGTCATTGTTGGTATCGCTCACCAGTCCTGTCTTGTCTCGTTCAGGCTCCAGTGCTCGTAGATTCCAATTTATTTTCCCGCTCCTCTCTGTGCTTTCAGAA